TCTCTAGTGATTGAATGCCCCCCCCGCCCCCCGCAAACACACACACCCATCGGTAGAACCACCCCGGCTGAATTCTGCATTGTAGCTGTCGCATCAATCACGTCCTGAGCACCTGTTCTAGTCCATGGTCTTTTGGTTGCAAGAAAGAGAAGCTCCCTCAATGCGGCTCACGGGAAAAGGGGGTGCCCCTGCATGGACAGAGGTCTCCGGGGATCCAAGGACAGGAGACGGGTGTGTCCAGGCCTCACGGAACCTGGAACCAGGAACCGGAGCACAAGCAGCAAGTCTACACACTGACTCCTCCTGTCTCCTCTCAACCCCTTCATCCGGGTGCTCACCGCAGAGGACCACCGTCCCAGCTCAGGTGTAGGGCCCCCAGCAGCCAGAATGTTTCTGTGAATCTTCGATTCTTAGAAAAGTCTCTGATTGGCTCGGCACAACACAGGGATGAGCCCATCCCCTCCCACAACTGGCTCCGATGGCCAGGCTTCATCTACTCCTCATGCAAAGGGGCAGCAGAGTGGGTTCACATGGTCCTTGCGCCTCAGTCAGGGCTGTGCAGCCCTGAGCAGGGCTGTGGTCAGGAACGGCCCCCAAACTTGCCTGACGCAGCATCTCCTCTGGAACTGATCAGAGTCAAGCCATGCTCCCCCCAGGGAAACCCAAGACAGAAGCAGGTGTTGAAGCATGGTTAGCCCTCCTCCCTCCAAGGCAGGTTTCATATGCCGGCCCCTCCATGCCTTCTTCATGCCTCTTCATGCCTCTGTATGCCTTCTTCATGCCTTCTTCATGCCTCTTCATGCCTTCGTCATGCCTTCGTCGTGCCTTCGTCATGCCTAGTGTGGGGGGCTCTCTTCATTACTTTCGAGCCTCAGCCAAGCTCTGAGACATCTGCAGCCACCCACCTGGACCTGAATGTCACCAGTCCTTGCAAATCTGCTTTCCCATTTCCCTTCTTAAAACTTGACACTCTGCCTCCCAGGGTCAAGTATATTTCAGGAACCATCAACCTGGCTATTGCTCTTCTGTTCAAACGGCAGGCAGCGGGCTCCGAAAGCTCAGACTTCTTGCCATCTGCCGCGGTCGCCACCTGGTGGTCCGCGGACCATGGTGGTCCGTGAGGTCCGAAAGGTTGGTGACCGCTGACTAGAGCAAAGAATCTGGGTGAGCAATTACCTTGTATTTCCTTCTAACTAAGGACGTGGTGGTGACCTCCTCATCATTTTGTTTGCTGTTTGTTTTAATGACAGACAAGGCCAGATGCATAGTTATTCCATTCCCTGAGCTGTATGGAGATGCCAAGAATAACCCAACCCACTCAGCCGGCCGGGGTGGTTCTACCGATGGGTGTGTGTGTTTGCAGGGGGGGGGGGGGGCATTCAATCACTAGAGATGAAAGGACCCCCATAACCCTGTCCTCTTCCCATAGGCACTGTGGATGTCCCAGGACCATCGTAGGGCCACCCACCGCCACACACGGGCATGCGACACTAACAGGCCTGTTTTATAAGCACAGCAGGACTCCTCTTCCATGGACCCATGATGCCAAAGCCTGTGGCTGCAGGATCACAGGCAGCTCCCGTGCAGAACCCAGCGTGAAGCTGGCTTCTGGCTTGTGAGGCAAATGCAACAGCCCACAAGTGAACGGGGGCTCCTGAAGCAAGAAGCTTGGTCACAACAGCACAGGTCACCTGGGAAAGACAAGTCCCAGCTTGGCCCCTTGGAAGGAAAACGGCCCAAAATCCCATAGGGATCCCTTGGCGCTCTGAATGCAACGCAAAAAATAACTCACTATAACAGGCAAACGAGGCGGCCGAGGCTGCTGTGGGTCATCATTCAACCCCTGCCTGAGCTCTTGCCCTTTTTTCTCAGGATTAAAATGTCCTGAGCAGGAACTAGCAGCTTCCATCTGCACTATATTCGTCAGGACTCTGATTTGCAAGTGACTATAATCAGCTCAAGCTAATTTGAGCATAAAAAGAATGTATAAAGGCTCCCGTACCCAAACCACCAGACGAACAGAGGTGGAAATGGCGCTGGGGACCGCGCACGGGCACCAGGGCCAGGGGTGTCCTCGGGGCCCTTGCTGGGCCTCGTCTCTGCTTTTCTTTGCGTGCTGGGCATGTCTGCTGTACACATGATCCTTCCAGAGGCGGCCGCTGACCATGCTGGGCTCACTCCTACCAACTCCTTCACCAGAGAGAAGGGAGGTTTCTGTCTCTCAGCTCTAAATTTGAGAAATTCTAGGAAAGACTGATTGGCTGGCTTGGGTCATGTGCCTGCCCCTTGGTCCAATGACTGCAGGGCAGGGAGGGCATGGGTTATTATGAATGACCCAGCCCCAGTCTCCCCCTCCTCCTTCCTGTTCTGCAGATGGAGAAGAGCTACCATTTCACCTCTCTGCTTTCTGGTCCTGCTGCCATTTGTTTTCCCTTTTTCTCCGCCCCCCCCCCCCCCGCCCCCCTGCCAGGCCAGTCTCATAACATCTGCCTTTTATCGTAGCCTTTATCAAGTTAGCCAGGCAGGGCTGTGTTAGGCAGTGATTCTCTTAGTCTCCCTCAAATTCTATTCCTAGACCTTGGTTCCTGTTAGTAATAAATTAACCCTCTACCCAAGAGGCCCAGGAGCACACAGAAATGTTTGATCCTCGGGGGCTTCAGGTGCACATGAGGAGGACACAGGCGGCGGCACAAGCCCCAGGCGGCCTTTGCGTTGGCAGATGACGGGGCCTTAGAGCAGACCACGCAGACTGTGAATGTTCTGCATTCCTCGATCCACTTCCAACCTGGACCATATGCAGACTTCATCACGAGACCGCACAGATTTTGGTCTCTTTGCACTGCCC